ACATGTCGTGATGGCACCTAGTTCCTACAACTAGGTAAGCCTAACAGTGCGGAATAACAAATTAACATTTGCGGAATAATAAATTAAAACTGAACATACGGAAATAACAACTGTATATAAGGCCACTCAGCCTATACAACTCAAAATATGCGGAAGTCTACAACTAAATCCCAAAACCCGGAAACTCACGGGAAACACAGGCTAATAGAATGTAGTAATCTGCTCTACACCAGAATGTCTAAACAACATGAAAGGAAAAAAAGGAACTATCTGCTAAAGCCGGAATAGAGTAGAGACTCCTGGTCTGCGGACGTAGCAGATATACCTCAAGTCTCAGCTAGGACTCTCCACCACGAGGATGATACGTCTGGGAGGAAGTACCTGGATCTGCACATGAAAAACATGCGCAGGAAGGGCATGAGTACACCACAGCGGTACTCAGTAAGTGCCAAGCCTAACCTCGGTTGGGTAGTGACGAGGAAGGTCAGGGCCCTACTGAGATAACATAATAAATAATAAGATAACAGAAACAGTTTAAATAAAGTCCACAGCGAGAATCTAAACCAGGTAAATAAGGATAGACGGCAATAGAAAGCAAAGGTAACAATACAAGGAAAACTGCCATCAACAAGGAATAGTAGCCGGGGATCTCTTGGTATCCCGAGGATCTCTTGGTATCCTCATCATCAACACGGGGGATCTCTCGGTATCCCGAGTATCTCTTGGTATCCTCAATAAGTAATCGGGGATCTCTTGGTATCCCAATATATATATAGAATCACATGTGCCAGGGATCTCTTGGTATCCCGCACCCTCAGTCCAGAATATCTCAAGTACATGGGGATCTCCCGGGAAGCCGTCTCGTAGTCCCAAATTAAACACACAACAACAACAATTCAAAAATCTCGGAACAATGCTAAAAATCAGGACAAGAAGTAGTAAATTATAGCCTAACATGCTTCACAGAGTACAAATAGCACAGCTAAAACAAATAAGCAAGTAAGCCAGCTAAATATGAGTCTCTAAGCTAGCACAGGTATAAACTTACAGTTAAAATGAACAAGTAAACAAGAAATCTATACTTCAAGTAGAAACGGGTTTACAACAATTAGCTCAAGTACGCGCTCGTCACCTTACGTACGAGGCATTCAAATATTCAAAGATCATATCCTAAGGGGAAAGGTCCCCCACACAAGGTTAGACAAGCCACTTACCTCGAACCGGCTCAATATCAACTAGAAGCCACGCTCTTGCCACGAGTATCCGACTCCAAATGGCTCAAATATATTCAATTCAATTACACATTGAAAATAACATCGCAAACACCTGGTTTTGCTAATAAATTCAAAGCTACGGCGTAAAATTAGGTGAAATGACCAAAATGCCCTTCAGGCCAGCGCCCCGGAATCGAATAATTTTCACATTTTCAGAACCCTCGTACTCTCACGAGTCTAACCATATAAAAATCTCCCAAATCGGAGGTCAAATGCTCATTCAAAACTCAATAATTTAGCCAATGAAATTTTACCCCAAATTATCCAATTTTTGATCCTAAATTCGAATTCCAATGATGCATTTAACTATATAATGATGAAATATAACTAGAAGGGATTAAGGAAACGTTACCCAACAGTTTTCTCTTCAAAACCCTCTGAAAATCGCCCTTACCCGAGCTCTCAATTGATTTCTCGAACTTTTGAAACTAACCCTCGAATCTGATATTTCACCCCAGAGATTTCCGCTTCTGCGATCAAGGGACCGCTTCTGTGGTCCCGCTTCTGCGGACCACGAGCCGCTTCTGCGGTTCTTCATTAAAGTCAGATTTCCGCTTCTGCGGTCTTAAACCGCACCTACGGTTGCCGCTTATGCGGATTCATTACCGCTTCTGCGGTTTCATTTAAAAGGACAGATTCCGCTTCTACGGATAAATAACCGCTTCTGCGGTTCCTGAGGGGAAGACCAATCTCGCTTCTGCGATGAGAAAGCCGCTTCTGCGGTCCCCAGCCGCAGAAGCGAAAATACCAGAAGGAACAAAATACCAGCTGCTGCAAACTTAGAAATTTCCTCCGTTAACCACTCGGAATCATCCCGAGGCCCCCGGGACCTCAACCAAAAGCACCAATACCACCTAATATCTTATTCAAACTTGTACCAATCTTGAAAACACCTAAAACAACGCCGGAAACCCGAATTAATCAAAGATTCAAGCCTAAAAACTTCAATTTCCAACAAAACACGCTTTCGATCAAAAACCTACCCGAACCTCGTCCGAATGACCTGAAATTTTGCACACACATCCCAAATGACACGACGGAACTACTGTAACTTCCGGAATTCCAATCCGACTCTCGGATCAAAAACTCACTATCGGACCGGAAACTCCAAAAATTCAAACTTCGGCATTTCAAGCCTAAATGAGCTACAGACTTCCAAAATACATTCCGAACACGCTCCCAACCCCGAAATCACCGAACGGAGCTAACGGAACCGTCGTATTTCCATTCCGAGATCGTCTTTACGCTGTTCCGACTACGGACCACTTTTCAACACTTAAGCTCTCATTTAGGGACTAAGTGTCCCAAAACTCAACACCGAACGTCCCGACAAACCAAAATAGCAGAAATGAACTTAGGGGGAAGCAGTTAAGGGGGGATCGGGGCGTAAATTCTTAAGACGACCGGCCGGGTCGTCACAAGCAATGTGAAATATTTTCTCAAGATTAAACAAGCCCATCTCTATTTAGATAGAGGATACAGGAATCAGCAAAATTAAATATTACACAAATCCAGCTAGTAGGAAAAAAGGAAGAACAACTAATGTGTAATGTTAATTAAATATTATAAAAAAGGAATTGGAAGGAAGAAGAGAGAGACGTATGAGAAGGATGTCTCATGATTGAAATTGGCTTAAGGGAAGACCATTTTATAGGCAAAAAAGCTTAAGGCTTTTCTTGTCATTTGTCAAGTTTCTTGCCATTTGTCAATTCTCTTGCATGCATCTTGCCATTTATCTCTTTTGGAAGGCTTCCACATGGTCTTCTTCAAGACATTTGTCAACAAAGGTTTAAAATATTGCCACGTGTATTTCTGTTAGGCGACCTGGACTTCATCTGTTTGGAATAGAGTAGTCTTTATTTTGTTCTACTGCCAGGACGTACGGCTTTAAGAAAGTCATATTCAGATGGATATTTAGCTTTTTGATAAGTTTATCTGTTTATATTGATAAGTAGTAAATAACAAAAAGAAATATTTATTGCTCTTTGGCTTTCTTCTCTGTCATTTCTGTTGGTTCATTTGAGGTTACAGTAAGAAAGAATTTTCCCAACAAAACAAATTCAGAGTCTTATAAAACAGTGCGAAGTGAATGTGCTGATCAAAATTTTACTTGTGCATATTTTCTGAAATATTCTTCTCGAGCGATTTCTCAATGCTGATTCTCTAAGTAAGAAGTAAAGGTGAGTCCAGATATTATTTGAACAAGATTCGGGAATTATGGCTTCTAGTCATGCCAAAAATAGGTAGAAATTCAACCAATGCAGTGATCAGGCTGAAGGAAAACAAGAATCTTTTCGACAAGAGCTAAATAAGTCAAGTTTTGAATTTCAGTGTAACGCTTCTGGATCTGTGGTGCTATCGGCTCCTACCATCATGAAAATAGCAAGACAAAAATTACTCAATCATATTTCGCAGCATTTTTAATCCCCCTGGCTACTTCCAATTCTGGTTTGTCTCCTGAATTAGAGCAGGATTTGGACTTAGCTGAACTACTTGAAGCTGCAGCTCAACTGGTTACATCTCGAAAGTTTTATCGTGCTAGAAAGCTTCTAAGCTTGTGTAACCAGTCTGCTTCTGCTACTGGTACTCCAGTCCAGAAAATTGTGTATTATTTCGCTGACGCTCTTCAACACAGAATTTATAGGGAGATGGGAAAAATGTCATTTACTACTGGAGAAATGTCATTTTGTTGGAAACAGTCTCTCTATCTCCACAAGGTAGGGGTAAGGTATGCGCACATACTACCCTCACCAGACCCCACTATGTGGGATTATACTGGATATGTTGTTGTTGTTACTGGAGAAGAAGATATTGAAGGATATTCTAATGATATGGAAGGGTACGTTTAATATGGATATAGAACTTGCTGAATTTGCAAAGAGGCCATTGTATGCCTACCGTCAAGCGACTCAATTCACTGGAATACAAGCCATCTTAGACAGTATACAATAACAGCAAAAAGGGTTCAGTTGATTGATCTTAGTATTAAAAGCAGGTCACAGTGGACAATATTTATGCAAGTTCTTGCTGATTGAGACGAATGCCCACTCGAGCATCTCAAAATAAGTGCTGTTGGAAGGTCTAAAAAGAATAGCAAGAAATTCAACATTTAAATGTATCTTATTGCTTCAAAACAGTTGTTTCAGAACTGAAGAATCTTACGACAGATTCCTTTGAAGTAGAGGCTAATGAAGTCGTCGCAGTATACTCAGATACAATGCTTTCGACTATGTTAGCTTGGCCTAAGAACCTGGAAGCTTTGATATATTGAGCTTATTAAAAGCCTCAATCCTTTCATAATGGTGGTCATTGAGGGATCGGAGTAGCAAATTTACCAAATTTTATAGATTCTTTCGATGAGTATTTAGCTTAGTTTAGTCCTAATGCTGGTTGTTTTGAGGTTCACTACCAATATGTGGAGGATTTTACATACAAAAACTCATCAGAAGTATGATCACGTATATAAGTAAATTCTTCTTCTCTATGGTATTATTCATCTGATCAAAGCCGGAATGAAATGCACAGGTAAATCCCTACTTTGTTTTTCTTAACCTTTAACCTCTTATATATAGAACATGTTCTTTAACCTTTTTACTGGGTAATGAATTAATGTTTGTTGTGAGATTTACCTGTAATTACCTTATAAATGACAATTGTATAGATATTATTTACACCTAAGTGCATAGAACTTAAACTCTTTAAGAAATAATACAATGTGATAGCAACTAATATTGAACACTATATGCTTTCAAAATTGCCAGAGCAAGAATTTCAGCATTTGTATTCTTGGGATCATCGAGCAACCTAGTGAAACTGCAAATTTAGTATGAGGTGATTAAAAAAAATTATTCGGCTATCTCTTCACTCTTCAGGCATATCCTGATATTAGATTTAGAGTGCAGAATGCTTTAAGAATTATTCTGCAAAACTCTGGCTAACAATCTAATCAATTGGAGCCGCCATGATAGTTATTGACTTCTTGTCGCGAGCTTCTGCTGCTGATTGATTTCTTTATGACTCTGTTCTTCATCATGTAAATGTATATTAGAATCATGATAGTGAGTGTGGTGAAAATAACTGTGATTACATGTTAAATGATAATGCATTGTCTGCTTGAGCAGTTTTTCAATGCCAATACTTTAAGTAGGAGCTGAGGGTGAGCCAGTATTACATATTCTAAGAAAAAATCTTGGGAATCATGGATTCTAGTAATGCCAGAAATATGGAGAAAGCGAACAAACACGGTGATCATGCTGAAGAGAAACAAGAATCTCTAGAGCCATTATCAGCTCCCACAATTCAGATGACCCCGATGTTATAAGACTTCATCCGCCTCCGTCAGAAAGATACTTCAAACATTTTGTAAATTTTGCAGTCCTAAACACAAGTATGATCTGACTCATCTTTTTCTTACTTCTCCGGATAAACAAATTAAATGGATAGAAATTTCAAAACGCATTTAATTAGTAGCTTGATTGATGCTTTCAACTTAATAGCACAAGCTATAAAATGACTAACCGATAACTATAGCATAAGAAACGAATTTCTTAGCTTGCTTAGCTTGTGAGATTGATTGCCTGCTGCAGGTTCTTTAGAAAATTAACAATCCCATAAAAACTAGAACGACAAGAGGGGTTGCTCAAAATGGTCAACACCCCCACCTACAATCCAGGGTCATGAGTTCGAGTCATCAAAGGAGCAATATAGCTCCAACTAAGGGGGATCAAAGGGGAATTACGAGGGAGGGGAATAAAAGAAAATTCCAAAAAGACAAGAACTCAAAAGCAATGGGGAGACTAGTTTAACACTAAATGCTAGGATCTCATAGGCTTATAATCCAAATCGAATACACAAGTCAAAATGACTACCAGTTTAAAATAACAGGTATTTAAAATTTTCTTAATGGGAAGAGACTTTCTATGTAATTTAGAAAGCGTTGGATGTTGCTCTCCTTAGGAAGCTCCTTGATACTTAATGCTCTCCAGCTCTTTTCCATGACATCATAACACATATAAGAATTTTCCAGTCTTGAGTTCATAATGAATACAATCTGCCCATCACGGGGCGTGCATGATGATATAGTACTAATTAATTGTATGTCGTAACATGAAAACTGAATGATATGATTCTTCCATTGTTTTTTTGGATTATGTTCTAAAATCCACAAGAAGATGTGTCCACATGTGTGTTTTTCATAATCCATGACTGCTAGTTTACCCTTCATCTCCATCAACTTGTAATCATGCGAGTTTTTCCACGATCCAACAATTTTAAATTTTTCAGATTTAACATCAAATGCATCTATAGCAAGTTGACCCTTATGGTAAACAAATCGATAAATAACTCCACTAATACAAACCCCAGGCATGCATAGAACACGAGGATAAATACTTTTAATCTCTCTCCATAATTTGTCTACGCCTAAAGTTAAAATCCAATATTTATTGTATCCTTCTCGAACATGCTTAGTTGTCAAAAGAACTTTGTACTTCTTTTCTTCTGATTCAAAACCTAATGAATAGTTACACTGAACAAAGTCATTATTTAGGTTGGGAAGAAATCTTACTTCTCCTTTACTGGGATTGAAAATCGCTGCAGGTCCAGCAAATGTTGGTCCCCAAAAGCAAAATAAACCATTAACGTAATCCAAACCAGAATATGCAGGGGCATGGTAGTAGAAATCATCAATTTGAAGAAGGGAGGCAGAGGCTCTTCCATCTTCAATTTGTCCAGTAGTGTAAAAAACTGGTCTCGTTTCGTGCGAAAAGAACTCTGTTCCACCAGGACGGGTCATAGAGCGACGTACATGGATATTCAAAAAATCGGATTCGGTTGCAAGGGAATTACAAAATTTGGTAACACATTTGAAACGCACTAAAGATTTAACAGGAAGCCACGAGAATATTTCATACATGATTTCTTGAGGAATTGACAGTTTTCTTCCCGTAGAATTCATCTTCTTCTTCATTGGACGCCTTGGCGTGCGGCTGAAGCGAACAGTGATGGAATGCCTCATTAGTGTTTTCACCTCTCCTTTTCCTTCTAAAACTTTTATTTCCTTTTGGTTTGCTTATAAAAACTACGAAAAAGATGCCAAAAGCCTTTAATTTACACTTTGTTTGGATCATTGTTTCTAATCGTTTTATAATGTATTGTATTGTATTGTATCGTATCGTTTTATAAATACAATGTTTGGATAGATTGTATTGTTTGCTATTGTTAAATAATACTTTGTTGTTTTGTTTGACTGTATCGTACTGTACTGTATCGGAAAAGTTGACTAAAATACCCTCAATTGTTTAAATATTAAATTTATTAAAATTATGCATAAAAATAATTTTAAAAAACAAAACAGAAAAAGGCAAAACACCTTAAGAAAGCAGAACAAAGGAGCGAGAAAGAAGAAGGCAAAACGAAGGAGCACAACTAATTAGGATTGAGCTAAAAGCAAATTAGAAGAAAAAATAAAACAGAAGGCGGCAAAACATCTTTAACGTCGGTGGCATAAGTTCTTGAAAAAAATAAAGTAGGTTATAAGTTGGAGATTTGGAGTTAAAATAGAAAAAAAGGTAAAGGGTAAAATAGAATTCTGGAGTAATAAGTTAGGGCATAATTGAAAAGAAAAATAGGAAACAATCCCACCACACCAAATCGGTTGTTTCAAAAAAGAGGACTTTTCATTGTTCCGGACTTTTATCAATTCCCTTGGCTTTCGAATTTAAAGCAATGAATCAACTTGAGTTTGTAAAAGAAACTGGAAAATCAAGTCAAGTATATCGAAATAAGCTATTTTATGACGCATCATTGCCTCATTGGATAATGACGAGGAAGCTAACTGGACAATAACATCAGTAACAAAGCTAGAAATTTCTCCAATGGTGTTAAAATTTGGAAAAAGTAAAACAAAAATTCCCGAAAAAGGCGTTCAATGTATGTTATATACCGCTAAATCCTTATATTTTACATGTATACACAATATAATTTTTAGACGAAGGATGATCAATCGACCAGTCGACCACCTTTAGCAGAACGTAACTTCGACATGGTGCTGAGTTGACAGTTACATAATGCTTACATGGACAGTGACGTGTCAACTTACTGGATAATTATAGACTTGATAAATTAGCTACAGAATGAGATATAAAAGCAGCCATTAATGCTTGCATTGGGCAGACTGTCTACGTGACTACATCACACCCCTTGGGATGCGACCCTTCCCCAGACCCAACGCGAATTCAGGATGCTTTGTGCACCGGGCTGTCCTTTTTAAAAAAAATTGTTTTACTTCAAGCTATAAACGGAACAAACAAATAGGGGTGAACATCGATCGGTTCGGCTCGATTGTGATTGTTATCGATTTGGCATATCGATTATCGGTTTATAAATATGCTAAACCAATAACCGAACCGATAAGATAACTCAATCTAGATTCTAGAGGAAAGAAGCAATGAATCATAGTACGTGTGTATTGTATAAAGAATAAGATAAACCTTTCTTTCTGTGTCGACATTCGATCACGTTTCCCAGATATGCTGGTTGGATATACTTTCAGCAATGCATTGTCCCACAAAATAAAATCCCAAGTTTATCTACTAAGCATAATAAAATGGTCTCTATCAAGAAGCATTTCTCTCTTTCGGTCTTGATCATTGGCTTAATAATTGAACAAGAATTTTCCAATATCAACGGAATGTAAAAGCCTTTTGCTTTTTCTGGATCTAAAGTCCTACACTTGTGACTCATGTTTTTATTATAGAAATCTAATACAGCTTTGTTTAACGTTAGGACAACTATAGGATTAACTTCCATTGTGTTGGTGAAGTCAAAGCTAAAGCAAGAGCTGAGAGCATCTCCCCTCAGAGCAATTGCGTTGCGCTGACATAATTTAGCAAAAGAGAAACATCCAAATTCAAAGTCTAGGAGATCATAATATAGGGAGAAACTTTACATGTTGCGTAAAATTGTTGAGTGCTGCAGATCTGGATACAGGACAATATACAAATCAATGATAGCATAGATACAGTTGATAAATCTGATAATACGAGCTGTAACGATCAAATGACCCCAGGTTCTTAACCCCCTCAAAGATTTATGACTGTTAGATGGTGGTTCCATTCTTTTCAAGTTCACGTTGTCTGGCTCTTTCCATCTTTCGCTTACGCCATTCTTCCAGAACTGTATAGTTGCAGTAAATGAAGAACAGTTTAATTGTTGAAGGAACGTGTTTAACAAACAATCATACAAAATCATGATTTTAACTGTGTACCATCTTCGAGGGATAAAGATTTGTGCGTGAGAGAGGGAAAAATCACTCTTCGAAGCAAATTCTATCTGAAAATTGGTATTGCCACCCGTTTGGTTTTTTTAAAGCTCCTAACAGTAGATTTAGCATTCTTAACAACTAATGCTTCTGAAATGCAATCAAGAACATTTTTAAATAAACGCCAAGCCAAGGGTAGGAGCAACACTCATCCAGCTGGTGTGCACTGTCGATTGAGTTGAAAAGCTTAATCGAGCACATGAAATACTGAGAGCAAGAAGAGAGTACTAGAAATTATTACCAGAATAGAGGCATGCCACTTTTCAGTCATGGAGTTCGATGCATGAAATTAAAGCAGCAGAAACATTGGCAATAAGTAGATGAGTAAATTATCTATGCTATAGATGCATTGCCAGCTCATACCATTTTCTTGGCCATGCTTGTTTCTCATAACTAACTATTGGTTCTCATACGCATGATGGATAACTCATGAAGAAAAATATACAGGACTGGAGAAGCTCCTGCAAAACCGTCTGTCACTCTATTGTATGCTCCAAGCACATGTGAGAGAAACAAACAACAATGTCTTCATGAATTTCCCTGGTTAAGATGCTTATGGCGACCAGTTGATACATACCTATTAGTCCCGAGTTTTTATGAGAACTAACATGTAAATTACCAACGTAATTTTACCTAGATTAGGAGATGTAATTTTGCCAAAAACATGTAAATTACCGACACAATAATGTACGTACTTAGTATAAATGCCCATTCAAACTTGAGGGAATAATCAGACTTAACAATTCTCTCAATCATCCTTTCCTTATTCTTCCTAGTGTGGCTTTTTAGAATACTGGATAAGACAAACTACTAAGTCATATATTTCCTATATCACAAGTCAGTCCTCCTCCTCTCCAAGTCTACTCATGTCATTCTCGTACTCCTACTAACACCCATGATAATTCTTCACATGATACATGTATGCTGACAACTCCTGATTACTCGTACTTTAACCCTCACCTGCTCGACATTAGCAGATACCACCACTCTGTCCGTTTCAATTTATGTGAACCTATTTCCTTTTTAGTCCGTGCCAAAAAGAATGATCTCTTTCCTTATTTGGTAACAATTTACTTTTATGCAATGATTTATAGCCACACAAAATTGATCTGCCTCATTTTACATAAGTTTAAAAGTCTTATCTCTTTTCTTAAATTCCGTACCCAGTCAAATGGGTTCACATAAATTGAAACGGAGGGAATAATAATCTAACAGTTGGTACCAGAGCCACCCATAGTTTGGGATTAATTAGTCTTGGGTTTCACAATATATATATATATATATATATATATATATATATATATATATATATATATATATATATATATATATATATATATATATGCGCGCGCGTCTATTTCGAACAGTGGTACAGCGTAACAAAAAATTATTTTACGGCTGTTTTGGTTTAAGAACTTGCTATCAGTAGCGTCGAAGGAGTGCGACGATGCATGATGAAACAATTTTAGATTTCACTGTTTGGAATTGTATGCATGACGGCGGCGGTTCTAATGGGGTTTTCATTGAAGCATTGCTCTAACGTAGTGTTTTTAAAGATGGACTTATATTTGTCCTCTAATTATAACTGATTGTCCCTTTTATTATGTGAAATCCTTAACTCACAAATCTATGCATTAATTATAAAATTTAAAGTTACTACCACTCTAAGAAACGTGGAATGCTTAGTCAGAATTAATCTGACTTGTTTATGAGATTCCTCAATTTTCATTTATTAGTTGATCAAATGCTTTGGTTTGTGTTTGATCATTATAATGGTTATGCTTGTTTATTGGCGTACTGTAATATATTAATGCAATAAACTATTGTTGAGACCTATTTAATATTAGTTAGAGAGTGGAAGAAATTAATATTCAAAAGGTTTAGATGTATGGGCGTAATTTATGTCACATGTATATGGTATTATTTAAATAGGAATTTATGATTAATAAATAGTTTCCATCAAAGCGGTCTATTTATTTGGAGTCATTGAAAATTCTTAGAACTTTATACATGTGAAAAATATTATACATGGATTTAGATCTATGATTAATAGATAGCTTTCACTAAAGTGGTCTGTTTATTTGAGTCATCATAATATTCTCAATGCACCATGTCTAAAATTGTCCTATATAAGTGTACACTAGTGTTGGAGGTTTTCCTTTGGATATTAGTGACGCTAAATTAATTGATGAGGATAGATATTGTATTTTCCACCTAAAGGAGGAACATAATATCTAGAATTTTCATGTGTATAAAAAAGGACATTTTGTTATAGCAGGAGGTTTTGTCTCTCTTACCTAAAGGAAGGATACAACGTATGCCTTGTACTATTTAATGATGTGGGGAGAAGGTTTTGTATCTCTTGCCTAAAGGTGAGGATTCAATGAATTCCTTGGACTCCTTGGTCCTTAAAGGGGAGACAGTTGTATCTTCCACCCAAAGGAAGGGTGCAATAGATGTATTTGACTCTTTTAATTTATGTGTTCATGCCCATATTTTTATCTAATTTTTGTGTTGTGTGCTTATACACCTGTTAACAACATGACTACTCAGTTGAATTCCATTGAAACTCTGACCAGTAGCAGCTACAAGAAGTGGAAACATGATGTTGAAATAATATTAGGTCTGATGGGCCTGGACTTTGCATTGGCTGAATCGAGACCTGCTGAATCTACAACACTGCTGATGAAAAGGCTAAGTACGAGAAATGGATGAAGG